GCAGGGCTCCTTCCCACATCAGACCGGGGGCCCCATAAGGGTCAGGGCTGTGTCTCTGCCTTCAGTCTGACCATTCCCAAAGACAGGGAGCACACACCTGCGTCAGACCAGCAGCTCCGGGGGGGGGGTCGCGCACTCACTCCACAGCCCGCCCTGGACGGGGCCGAGGAGGAGTCCTGCCTCTGGGGGCACAGGTGCGGACCACAGGACGCGTTCTACCTGGGACACACCTGTGGGACAGCTTCAGCCTGCTGCTTCCCTCGCCCCGCCCTGGGCCCTCCCAGAGGGGACGGCCACGGCTTTGGTTCCTCCTGCCCATCCATCTGCTTCTGGATGTGCAGAGGAACTGTTGGCTTTTGTTTGAAAGTTGTGTGACAGCGGTTTCCTCCAGTCCCAAGCACGTGGGTGACCCCCCTAAGCGGGGCTGAGGAGATGAAAAACCACATCGGCCCGCCGCCCACCTGCTTGGGGGCTGGCTGTCCTGGACGCATCACGTGAGCTTGGCGCCGGAGGGACCCATCTCCTCCAGGCTTCACTTCCCAGGGACCCAGGAGTCCCTCGCCCCGTCCACAGCCCACAGCACTCACCACCAGCCACAACGCCTTTGCCACACTCCAAAGAAGGAACCCTCGGAGCTGCCGGCTCAGCCGCCCCTCGGGGAAGCTCTGGGGTGTGTTGCAGCACGTCCAGAAAGAGCCTGCCCCGCGCGGGGAGACGGGGTGCGGGGCGGGTCCGTCCACCTGGCTGAGCACTTGGGTGCCCCTTTGGCCTGGTAGGAGTTCTATCTCCTTCACCTATAAAAGATCACGAAACAGGATAAAACGAAGGGGCTGGTGTATGCTGCCGCAGGCCAGAAACGGACTCTCCTGTCCAGCACGGGCAGCACGCGTTTGTCACCGTGAGCAAACGAGGCGAGCACGGAGGCCAGGGACAGTCACACCTGGTGAGTATTCGCCATCACTTGAGTACGCCGCCGCCGCATGCCACCACGGTTCGGCCCCTGAGAACGCAAGCAGGAATGAACAACAAATCCTGCGCCCACGGGCTCACCTTCAGACGGCTTGGCAAACGTTCCTGCAGAGAGCCAGAAAGCAACCGTTTGCAAGCCTTTGCCACCCAGTGTCTCGCCCAATCCTCAGCTGGCTGCTCGGGACAGTGACCGGTGACCGAGCATGTTGTGTTCAAATAGAGTCTATTGACAAAAACAGGGGTGGGCTGGGTGGGCCCAGCAGGCTGCGGTTCCACCTACTCTAGAGGCCTG